AAGTCAATGATTCTGGGTAGATTTTCAGATTCTTCTGCCATTCAGAGGGGAATACCACAAAACTGATGACGGCCATTCTTGCGGAGATCTAAGAAAAGCATCTCCTCTCTCTAGTTAAGGGAACCACCTTTCAAGATTTAGACATTGCAGAAGATGTTACCTCTCAAAAGGAGAGCAATGCTTAGACCATCACTGACAAAGAGGTGAGCATTCAATGTTCTCTTCATGCTAAATAAATCGGATGCAAACCAACATTTCAATGTAAGATCCCCAAAATCTGAACATACCTAGTAATAATAAAGTATCTTTCAAATACGGTTCATTACAGCTGACTGGGCTTCAAGCTGTGGGAACAGTAGGAAGATTTATGCCAGGAAGATATACGAAAGGTTATTGTTCTGTTGAGAGGTGAGAAATGCCTTGCAGCATTCCTTTGGAAATAAATGGATGAGACCATACTTTCAGGTACAAGAAATGCAGCTGATCTTCCCTTTGGAGAGAAGAAATCGACAAGCAGTTGACAAACTGCACAGCTCAGCAAACTTCTGAAAAGAAATCAACTCAGTGACCGGATGGGGAGTAAGGAAAACTGGGACTTTCCCCTGTAGTACAATGAAGCTGGTGGTATATATGAAGAGAAGGATCTAGGATTAGCTGTTAGTGGATGAGCAATTGAGCTGTTTTTAATTTTCCAGATGATCATGGCCCAGCTGGCCATGAACAGTAAGAAAATATTCCTGTTTTTACACTCTGACTGGGTGCTGAACTATGCAGTTGGGTCTAACTCTGTCAGGTTATGGCTCAGAGAAAATTGGCCGTTCTAACGGGGAAGCGGTGCAGCTGTCTCTGTCAGTTAGATTCACAGTGCATCTGCTTCTGCTGTGAGTGGTGTTGAAATCCCCCTGGCAAGAGAGACACAAAGGAGCTGGTTGTGACTATAGAGAGAGGAACTGGAAGGAGAAGTTAGTGCAGGGGAAGAGGAAAGCAATGTAAGAGGTTGTGTCTGTCAGGACTGATCAGTGGAGCTGGTTGTAACTGTCACAGGTCAGCAATATCTGGTTGTATCTGTGTGTTAATGAAGGGGCTGATTGATACCTGCCTACGGAGGAAGAGGCTGTTGGACCCACCAAGGATAAAGCAGTGTAGCTGGTCAGAGTAGCCAGTAGGGAAAC